TACTGACAATTAAGTACATTAGTCTCTTTAATGCAACAAAATCTAACTCGTCACTGTTTTACTTAATATTTTTTTTTGCATAATAAATAAAATATAATAGAGATGTAAAGAAGTAAATAAATTCTATATATATTTTTTTTATTTTATACAATTTTATATATATCTTTTTATTTAATTAATAATATTTTTTATACTTTTACAAAAAAAATAAATGTATTAGTTTTTAATTTAAATCAGTAATATAATTTCTATAAAATATAAGTAAAATATAAAGTAAATAAATATTCTATTCTTTTTTAAAATATTTAAACATGTTATTTATTTATTTTTATTTATTTAGTTTTTTTGCATTACAGTAATGCGAGTTAATTATCATGAAAATAACGTCTAAAAAAATCTTAATGGTCTTAAAAACAAGCTTCATTTGATTACCTCTACATTATATTATATTATATATATTATATTATACAAATGTTCTTGATGATTTCTTTAGTGTTTTGGAGTTTGGTTTGTTTTAAGCACCAGCAGCACACAGTGTTTCTAAAGAACTAGATAATCAGGTCTTATCTGTAAAACCTCGTGTTTTGGTTCTGTTCTCGTCCTGATGGGCGGCTCGCGTCTTTGTGTTCGCTCTCGCTCAGGTCGCCTCGTTTGAGCACGAGATGGAAATCCGAGCTCTGATTGAAGGACAGTTCCTGGCCAAACGAGTTCATGCAGAAAAACTGGGCTACAAGATCAGTGAGTGTCTGGTGTCTCAATCATTACTGCTGTTTCTCCAGGCCAGTCGTCTGTATTAGCTCAGCAAGTGCACTACAACTGCTGTATGAGTTTGTGTTGTGCTTGAAATATTAAAATCAAAAATATGTATTAATGCTTTCATTAAGTAAAATCATTAACTGCCTTCTGTAACCTGTCTGTAAGCAACAGAATGTTCCTATATACAGGCTAGGAACCGTTCTCATGCGCTGTATTCATTATTCATATGCTGTATCATCATTATTATTATTAAAACAATATGTTACACAAATACAGCTGCTTATTTCTCAGCAGGAGAACATTTCCTTTTTCCATCTATTGCATTAATGTAAATGCAAATGTGTTTCTATCTTTAAAAATATATTCATTAAAATAATAAAATAATATATTTTCTCAAAAGTTTGAAGTCCAAAATAACAGCATTTGTTTGAAATAGAAATATTTTTATAAATTATAATATGTAAAATAAAGCAGTAAGCCCCAAGAAGCCGTGGTTTACAGTGAATTTATAACAGCTAAGGGGCATTGTTAGGCACGACGTAAACCACGGCTTCACAGGGCTTATTGCTTTATTTTACATATTATAATTTATAAAAATATTTCTATTTCAAACAAATGCTGTTCTTTTGAGCTTTCTGTTCATCTGTGAATCCTGAAAAATAAAATGCATCACAGTTTCCACAAAAATATTGTGCAGCACAACTGTTTTCATCATTGATAATAATCAGAAATGTTTCTTGAGCAGCAAATCAGCATATTATTATGATTTCTGAAGATCATGTGACACTGAAGACTGGAGTAATGATGCTGAAAATACAGCTGCGAATCACAGAAATACATTACAGTTTAACAGATATTCACATAGAAAACAGCTGTTTTAACTTGTAATATTATTTCACATTTTTTCAGTGTATTTTTGATCAAATAAGTGCAGCCTTGCTGAACAGAAGAGACTTCTTTCAAAAAAATAAAAAAATCTTAGCCCAAACTTTAGGGTTGCACTAATCAAAGGTTCCCTCCAGTGATATCCGTGTCTCTTCCAGCAGGATTTCACATATATCCGCATGTTTTCTGTTCTATGAGACGATTTGTGCTGAGTGAAGGTCAGGGTATCAATACTCATTAATAATGCACTCTTCTGTAGTCAACACAAACATCTGGATGATGCAGGACTGATGCACGGCTGCGTCTCAATGCGTTACACACTTACATTACTCAGCATTTAACAGCCACACAACCGTCTTTATGATTCTCTCTCTCCTGATTATACATGTGCTTTGCAATATATCCCTATAATAAGATACTGATGATGATGATGAAGGCCACACCCCTCACACTGTTTATTCTGATTCATTTGGGCGGAGATCTTAGGATATTGATACTGAAATTATTCACTCTGTTGAATATCTGTAATGCATTTCAGTATCAAATAACATTTATTCCTTAATGAATATTTTAAAAATGTATAAATCTTAATATAATAAACCCTCAATGCAAATTCGAATGATCAGAATGCTAATTAAAAATCCAAATGGGAGGCATCACTAATTCATATTTAAATGATGCATATTTGCATTTATAAGTAAGATTTTTTAATTGATGTGCTTCTTTCTTGCTTGCTTTAATTTGACTATTTTGACTTAAAGTTGTAAAGTTATGTTTAATATATTTATATCTACGTTTAGAAAGAAATATTTAAAATTAACATTTATATATTATTATTTTAGTTTTAATTTAGTTTTTATATTTCTTAAACTATAATGAATGGAATGCAGTTAGACGTTTGCATTTTTAATTTAATTATTTTTTTATTCTTGGGTTCTTTGTTTCTTTATTTCTTGCTTTTTTAAATATAAAACGTATGTGTGTATGCACTTATTTAAATTTGGTTATATATTTATTAAACTATGTGGAAATATTAGAATTTTATATGTTTTGTAAATGTTCTTTCTTTCTTGCATTTCTTGCTTGCTTTTTAAAATCGTACTATTTTGCATGCATGGGATTTTATTTAAATATTATTTAATTTATACCTGATTATCAGGTTCATGCTTTTATTAAGATGCTGTTTACTGATCATAAATCTGTTCATCATGATGAATTTTACAAGTGCAATAATTTTTTGATTTTCTATTTATGTGCCGTTTTATTGCGTAACATTTGTTTTTATGCTTCATGCAGCCTGAATTATGCTTTAATTAGCATAACATAATGTTTTATGTCTCATTGCGGCCTGATGGCATCGTTAGCATGTTTGATGTCTGGCGTGGGATCATACAAACACATGCATAGAGAGATCAGCTCGCAGCTCCTCTGTTATTGTAGCGTAGGCCGGGGCTAGTTGTCACAGGGGCTGTGTCTCAGTAAGTGTGGTTTATGATGATATACAGTATAACATGAATTAATCTGTTTTATAGTTGCTGGTACACGAGTGCTGGCCACAGGAGGAGCGTCATCCAACAAGGACATTTTACAGGTATTTACAGTATTTTGCAAAACAACGCTGAGATTTGCCAGATTTATATAAATGATTTTCTTACTTAGTATTTTTGGCTTGTTTTCTAGTATAAATGTCTAAACATTCTTGAACCAAGATGCATTTACTTGACAAGTAAAATGACTTAAGATATTAAGTCTTGTTTTCTGAAGAAATTATTAACATTTTGTAAGCTTTTGCTTAAAACAAGCAAAAATATCTGCTAATGAGGTAAGAAAAATAATCTTAATTCAAAGGCTAAACAAGATTATTTTTCTTGCCCCATTGGCAGATATTTTTGCTTGTTTTAAGCAAAAACTAACATAATTTTGATAATTTGTTCAGAAAATAAAATATCTGTAGTCATTTTACTTGTAAAGTAAATTAATCTTGATTCAAGAATTCTTAGATATTTATACTAGAAAACAAGACAAAAATACTAAGAACCTTTTTTTTTTTTTTTTTTTTTTTTGCATTGATTGGAAGGTGCTTGGGTGTGACATTTTTACAAATTTAAATATAAAAAAAAAACTATTAACACATTAAATGTAAATCTTAAATCTTAAAATTTTTGATATTTGCATGTTAGATTCAAGACTTATACTTATTGAATTTTTTTTTTTTTTAAGATTTCATATTTGCATTTATATTTGGAAAAAACTGATTTAAGATTTTATATGCAAGTGTACTTTATTTTTTATTTTGAATATTTAATATTTGCATTTGACATTGGGGAAAAAATTACGTTATTTATCCAAGTATAATGACCGAAAAATGTGCATTTTTCATATTTATTTTTAAATGTTTTTACAAAACCAACACATGTGCATGCTTCTCAAATGATTTTGAAATGTCTTGATTAATGTAATGCTCATTCATCTTCTCAACGCTGCAGGTTCTGTCTGACGTCTTCAGCGCTCCGGTTTACATCATCGACGTGACAAACTCGGCCTGTCTGGGCTGCGCTTACAGAGCCGTACATGGTAATAATAATAATTATATTATCTGATAATTCTGCTCCTGTGGAGACCCATAGAGACCAACTATTAAAGTGCCCCTATTATGGGTTATGAAAGGTTCATATTTTGGTTTTGGGAGTCCCCAACAACAGGTTGACATGCATACAAGCTAAAAAAAACACTTTCATTGTCTTATAATATGCATTTATTTTTTATCTTACTTGCTCAACGACTCCCAAACGATTCACTCAACGATTCATTTTTCCAAACCCCTGCTTTGCGTGACGCTAATCTGCAGTGATTGGTCGGATTGGATCTCGCCTGTAATGCCTGATAAAGCAGTGTTTGTGAGCGCAGTGCTGCTTTGTGTACAGCGTTACCGGGGAAACGGCTATTTTTATGCTCCAAAAGCGGCAGCTAGTGGAAAAGAATGAATTTGCATTTTCATTCAGACCAACCGAAAAGACTAACAAGTGGGCGGGCAATATGTTAATGTTTCATGTTGACGTCAAGATGAAACTGCTTGGGATTCGTTTTAAAAACGACTCGTTTAAATGACTCAGTCGACTCTTTCTGTTGAGAGACAATAACTTTATACACGGTGCACGTTCAGATGTAAAACTTTGCAGGATGCACACAGCATGAAATGCAAAATTTTGAAAATGTCAAAAATCCATAATAGGGGCATTTTAACATTTGTTTACATGATACCGCTAGATCTACTAGATAAGCCAGATTCACATTAAGTAAGATAATGCAGTTTCAGATGTCTCATTTTTATATATTTTAATGACTAAATAAACTATTAGCATATTTAACGTGCATGTAATTTACATTTTAATTTAAATATTCAATATTTGTATGTTGATCAACACGGCGCATCGATGTAATATATTTTATTTGATTTATATATATATATTTTTTACATTTTGTTTGTAAAGATGTTTGGGTTAAAGATGTAAAGATTTTTGTTTAGATTTAACATTTACATTTGGACAAAAATTGGCTTAAGATTTATAAGTAATATTTTTTATTCATTACATATAACTACTATAATGCATGAAAAATACTTAAGACTATGATGTATGAAATTTGAATTAAAAAAAAAATTATTTAGGTAAATCTGCAAAATTTGCCTTGAATTTTCTTAGTTTTTTTGTTTATATTTTATATTTTGATTTAAAGTTAGATTTACTATTTACATTTAGACAAATGAAATGCATGAAAAAATTTGACAAAAATATTATTTATGTAAATCTGGCAAAATAGAGCTGTTTTGTTGACTTTATTTTATATTTGGCACCCTAGACAGTTATTAGAAGGATCTCTGTATAACTGTCTGTACTTCAGTTCAGCGCCAGCGTCTCCTGCTCGATCCGCATCGATGTGTGCTAATGATGTGTGTTTGCTGTGAGTGTGTGAGACGCATGAGTCTGATCAGGAGAATATGATGGAGAGGCTCATGTCCCGTCAGAATCAAACAAGCGGATGAGGCTTTAATCACAGCCTGATGAAGACTTTCTGCTTCATATCAGCATTGATTAAAGCTCAGGGCCCTTTCTTTAACAGCCGTGGAGAGTGGCTTTCTGAAGGGTTTACAGATGATTCTTATTGATCATTAATCCTGACGACGAGCTGCTGTTAATTGGGAGAACAGACACAGATTGGCTTCATCCCTTTGCTGGAAATGCTACTCGTTTCCATAGAGACGGACGATACAGCATCACTGACCCGCAGAAAACAGTGCGGAGATATCAACAAAAACATTTCTTTCAAAACTTAAAAAATATATATAAAATAATCTTTTAAAAATAAGAAAATTATTTTTAAAATCATATATGTTTTAAACTTTTTAAATATGTAATATAATGAATATTTAGAGTCATTAGATTAAATTTGGAATAAAAGCATCTGCTAAATGACTAAATGTAAATGTAATTAGATTTAAATTTATGGATTTAGCAAAATATATATACATTTTCAATTTAAAAAAAATCTAATAAAATCTTTAAATGTAAATACACAGACACATACATATAAGTGTGTGTGTGTGTGTGTATATATATATATATATATATATATATATTAGTGTAAGTGTATTCTGTCTATATTTAAATACAAAATGTAATATTTAAATATAATAAATTTCTATTTACTCTAAGTACTATATGGATTTATTTTATTTTTTATGTGTATGACTATTTAATGACTTCATATTTATAAAATGTATTTACTGTTTGTACTATTATATATTTACTATTTATTTAAAGTATTATATATAAATAAAGTTAAGTAGTACTAATAATAATAATAATAATAACAATTATAAATAAATAAAAAAAATATTTATTTCGGACAATCCAAAGAATGAAATACTTTAACAATTCATTCTTTAACAATTTCACAATTTAATAGCTATTTGCAATTTATGTATATATTATGTATATATAAAATCTAAAATAATTTAATTTATTTATTGTGTCTGTATGTATATATACATATACATACATACACACACACAATAAATAAATTATATTATTTTTGATATATAAAATGTAAAAAATAAGAAGGTGCATAATCCATATTATGTCACATTATTATGTTGTATTTGATGCTTAAGCACTCCTGCCAGTGCTGTATCTGTCAGGATTCAGAAATCTATGATATATCAAATTCAGATGCACATCTCTTCTCTTCTGGTCCTCTGGCAGAGCGTGTTTTATAAGCCCTTTATTCACCTGATTTTGAAATGGGTTCTATGATTTAATAAGGCCTCGGATCTCACATGACGTCATACGGCTGGCCGGCGCTTTTCATTGCATCCTCTCAGAAGAAATTGCTTTTATTTCAGTTTCTGGGTTCGATAAGGCTTTCATTATTCTGCTGCTTTTCACTGCTATAATGTTCATCTGAAGATTGTGTAGAAGATGAGACCTCAGATCACTGCTGGTCTGAACCTTGATTTTTACCCGTTTTAAATGCTAATTAAACTTCTCAGACGAAGAGTTTTAAATCATCGATCAGTGCTGATCACCGTCACACCAAAACTGTGTGTTAGACCCAATCTTTGAACTTTCTTATCTAAGTTATGAGCGTTAGTGGAAGAAACCAATGCATCACATGCGGTCTTTGGGTTCATCAAGTACTTTGGTTTCAGATATAAAGTGCATTTCTTTTAAAGCAAAGTTCCCAGTGGAGAAGTAGAAGATATTCTTAATGAGACATCTGGATTTATAAAGGTCAGAGAATTGTGGATTTCTCCAGTCAACATTTTTTTTAATGAGCTGGTGCTAAAAATGTGTACGACTTTCTTCATTAACACTTCTTCGTGTGAATTAAAAATTACATGGGGATTTATTGTTAAAAGCTCTAAAAAAAAAAAAGCACCATAAAGGTTTTATTTATTTATTTATTTTGGTCTAAGCTGCTCTTTTTTATAAGTACTTTTTATAGTTAAAATTCAACTAATGAATGTATTTATTAATTTAAATAATTTCTTATTTATCTAAATAATTGTATTTGTCCGACCTGATCTGTTCTATAAAATGATTGGGATTTATAGTTAAAAGCTTTAAAATGGATTAATAAAAAATAATATTTTCTATAATTGTATTTTATTTTTACATTTATTTTATTAATCTAAGCTGCTCTATTCTATAAATGGAATTTCGATTGGGATTTATAATTAAAAGCTCTAAGAAGAACACAAAAAAGAAGATTGATTCATTTTGTCTGAGCTACTCTATTCCATAAAATGAAACTTTGATTGCGATTTATAGTTAAATTCTCTAAAATGGACAAAATAAGCACCATAAAAGTACAACAAAAGTGACCTGACGCACTGAAAAACATGGCATTTGGCATGAGAGCGAGTCCATGATGACAGAATTTTAATTTATATTATCCCTTAAACTCTTTATGAAACACAAATGTTTGTAATATGTACACTCTTAAAAATAAAGGTGCTTAAAAGGTTCTTCACAGCGATGCCATAGAACCATTTTTGGTTCCACAGAACCAAAAGTTCTTTAAAGAACCGTCTCTTTCTTACCTTCTTATAATCTGCATGACCGTCTTTCGCCACAAAGAAGCTTTAGTGAAACAGAAAGGTTCTTCAGATGTTAAAGGCTCTTTATGGAACCATTCAGACAAAAAGGTTCTTCTGTGGCCTCACTGTGAAGCAGCTTTATTTGTAAGAGTGTAGCGGAGCTGTGATCCTGAACTGAACTGGTTCTGTGTTTCTTCAGTGACGCTGTATGACTGAATGTGTGTTTGTGCAGGTCTGGAGGCAGAAGCAGGAGCATCTTTCACAGAGACGCTCAGAAACGCTCCAGAACCGCAGCTGGCCGTCAGACCCGCGCCGGGAGCGCAAGAGGTACAGATACACAATATCACAATTCATATTCCTCTCTAAATCACAAAACACAAAACTCCGTCTCATGCTGGTGACGTTACTGTGCATAACATCAAAGATAAATCCTTCGCAGAGTAAATTGTTGATGTACTGATGTCTGTGAATCACTTTCTTTTACAGGTTCGTTTCAAAGAATCGATTACAAAATGATTCAGTGATTCCTTGATTTCATCACTGACATTCCTTTTTATGTAGGAACATATTGCAGTTCATTGCATTTCAATTGAGTTTCATTACGTAGTGTGTTTTTTATGTGTTTTAGTTCCGTTTATTGTAGTCGTGATTCATAGTGAAACAGTTATTCAGAGCCAAAATATAATTTGCAATGTCATTAAACGATACTAATATTTTATTTTCATTTGTCTGAGCTGCTCTTTTCCATAAAATGTCATTTGCATTGTGATTTATAGTGAAAATCGAAACAAAAAAGTGCCACAAGTTGATGCATTTATTTATTTTGTTTTATTTAATTATTTTATTAATATTAATTTTGATTTATGGTGAAAATCTCTAAAAAGGAAAATTGTTACAAATTGTTAAAAAAGTTGAAATGTATTCATTTAAAAAAAGTTGATAAATATTTTATTTTATTTGTCTGAGCTGCTCTATTCCATAACATGAAAATTAGAATGTGATTTAAAATCTCTAAAAAGGACAAAATCAGATACATTTTTATTTTGTTTTATTTTATTTTATTTCATTTTTTTATTTTATTATTATTATTATTATTTATTTTTTTGTCTGAGCTGCTCTATTCCATAACATGAAAATTAGAATGTGATTTAAAATCTCTAAAAAGGACAAAATCAGATAAATTATTTTTTATTTTGTTTTTTATTTTATTTTATTTTATTTTTTATTTTATTTTATTTTATTTTATTCAAATCAGGACATGCAGTTATTCACAACCAAAATATAATTTGTCATTAAACAGTATTAATATTCATTAGTCCTCAACTCAAGATCGGGATCATGAGCCTTCAGATCACGATTCAGTTCAGACCGGTTTTGTGTTTTGAATAAATCCATGTAGATGTTGAATGAGTGTTTGATGTAGTAACTCATCTCTTCTCTTTACTGGTGACTAGAAATATAAGCTTAGTGATTCATATGTCTGACTGATGGCGTTCAGTAGTGAAACAGCAGATCTCGGTCGCTCTGATCTTCTGAACGCTGCACATGATCGCGTCTCTCCGCTGAACGCTGACCTGCTTCATGAGTCAGTGCGTCTTCATTAAACGCTTCATCCCCTCCGCAGAGACGCATTGTGAGGGAAATTACACACGCAGGGGACGAGCTGAATGCCGCTGGATTTAGACAAAGCCTCTTTCATTGAGTGGAAGCTTTACAAACACAGTCAGACCCCATGAACCTGCAGGATGAGAGTAATGCAGCCTCACCTGACAGAGAATAATATGAGACTGATGCATTTATATCATGTGTACATGATCCTGAATGGCCGAGGTCAGGCGTAGCAATATTATAAGAATTATATGGTTTTGAACACTTTTTCACCTCATGTCAGACAGAAATTAGTGTGCACTCATTTTATGCAAGCGAAATGATTTTCTTTCCTCCTTACTGTGTATTATGCATTAGACCCCAGTATTAACCCCAGTGTGCTGTTGTGCACTGCCTCATTTCTCGAAAGGCAACATTGCACATATACATGCTATTAGTTGTTTCTTATTTTTGCGGAAACTGTTTTTTGGTTGTTTGTTTTATTTGCATTTAAATGAATGAATGAATATATTTATTTGCATTTACATGTATTTATATGCATTTGAATATATTTATTTATTTCTATTTGAATTTATTTAAACACATTTATTTTTTTAAATGCATTTACATTTATTTTTAAGTGCATTTAAATTTATTCTTTTAAATGCATATGATTTATTTTTAAATGCATGTAATTTAATTAGTTTGCATTTAAAATGTTATTTATTTAAATGCATTTCTTTCTTTATTTTAATACACTTATATTTAAGTAATTTTATAATAATTATCATTTAGTCATTACATTATCATTATATTTAAATTAAAAAATATATATATAAATAGAATATTTTATCCCTTTGGGGGTGGGGATATTTTGAATGTTTTAAAATTATTTATCATATTTTTAAATTTTTTTATGATTTACTTAATTTGGGCTTTTCATCAATTCACAAACCCCAGTTTGAGAAACCCAGCTGTGGAGGAAGTTTTAAGTTCTGGAAGTTAGAGTATTTTGCATAGTGCAATGAACTCTTCTATGGAAATTTTGATTTCTTTTTGTTTCTGGAAAATGAATATGTCAAATACAAGTATGATTTGTTATAATGAACCGTTTATATTGCGTCTTGTTTTTCTGGCGGTCCAGTTTACCTGTCAGGAGCGTTTTAACTATCTTCCCGATCACAGCTGAAAGACTGACAGCTCTATTTAGCTAAAGGCAAACTGAAGGAAATTTCCCATCATGCTCTGTGAACCTCATTACTATGCATGAGTTTGGCTTTGACAGCTCAACACGAAGCATTATGATCCGGTTGATCTGAATGTTGAAGATGTAGTTTGTATTAGAGGCTCCGAGGCCTCAGATGATCTGGAGCTTGACATGTTTTCCACAGAAGAAAGAAAGTCATATGGAGTGAGTAAATGATGATGATGATTATTATTATTATTATTATTATTAAAAAATATAAAACAGTAGTAGTGGTAAAAATAATAATTAATAATCATTAAATATAAATAATCATTAAACATAAATATAATAATAATTACTAAATCATCATCATTAAAGATAAATATAAAATGAATAAATACATAATGATATAATAGCAATAATTGTTATAATAAAATTATAAAAATAAATGAAATTGTTTATTTATCATTGTTTTCCCCCCCATTATATTTGCCACCAATTGATAAAAGCAAAAACCACACAAGTTTGTTACCAGTCAGTCTGTCTGTCTGTCTGTCTGTCTGTCTGTCTGTCTGTCTGTCTGTCTGTCTGTCTGTCTGTCTGTCTGTCTGTCTGTCTGTCTGTCTGTCTGTCTGTCTGTCTGTCTGTCTGTCTGTCTGTCTGTCTGTCTGTCTGTCTGTCTGTCTGTCTGTCTGTCTGTCTGTCTGTCTGTCTGTCTGTCTGTCTGTCTGTCTGTCTGTCTGTCTGTCTGTCTGTCTGTCTGTCTGTCTGTCTGTCTGTCTGTCTGTCTGTCTGTCTGTCTGTCTGTCTGTCTGTCTGTCTGTCTGTCTGTCTGTCTGTCTGTCTGTCTGTCTGTCTGTCTGTCTGTCTGTCTGTCTGTCTGTCTGTCTGTCTGTCTCTCTGTCTGTCTGTCTC